GGAGTTAGATTCGAAAAGGGAGAGAGAAAGAGAGAGAGAGAGATAGAGAGAGAGAGAGAGAGTGGGAGAGTGAGGGGGATTGAGAAGAAAAAGAATAAGAAGAAAGAGAAGGAAAAGAAGAAGAAAAAGAAGAGAAAAGAGAAGAGAAAAAAGAACACACAGAGTGAGAAGTAGAAAGAGAGTAAGAAATAGAACAAGAAAGTAAAAAGAGGGATCGAGGGAGGTGGAGAAGTGAGTGAGAAAGAGAGAAAACAAAGAGAGAGAGAGAGAAATAGAAAAACAGAGATGAATTTATTTGAGCGACAGAATATGGCAAAGAGACAAGGAGGAAAGGGAGAGAGAGAGGGGGTCGTTGAAAAGAAGGAGATAGGGGAGAAGGTGGGCTAGATCAAGGGAGAGAGAGTAAAACAGAGAGAGGGGGGAGAAAGAGAAAGAGAGAGAGTGAAACGTTGGAGATAAAGAGTTGAGGAGTGAGAAGCTACAAGTGTATGCAATTGTTGATTATCCAAAAGCGACTTCACGCATGCACGGCGGGGGAAAACAGACAGAGAAAACGGGGTGAAACGGGTGGGAGAAACCAAGCACTTATTTGATTAAACAAATTGATTAAATTGACGCTGATAGGCCCACCATAAATGTCTAATAATGCTTGCTTCTCGTTTCACCCTTTGAAATGCAATATGCGGACTGTGATGGTTGAGTGGAGAAGGGTGAAAATGCGACTTAATTGAATTCAGACCTCCTGCTCTACATGAAAGAAGGCGAATATTGTACATTAATTGCAATGAACACTTGCTATACCAGACACATTCCACTTTGTCCATGTGCATGTTCTTTTAAATGTCTTCACAATTTATTACATTGGTGACCAAATGCTAGCCCTTAGAATTCAGAATAAAAGTTAATGAAAATTGTCTAAGAAAAAATAATGAGAAATCAACTACTTAATTCTTGAAATGAATGATTATCTTATGAACGATGTATTTTCTTTTGCTTTGTTTTACTATTTATTGTTGGCAAAATCCAAGCTGGCTTTTACCTTATAACATATAATTTGATAGGATAATTTCGTTGTAATTGATTTAATAATCATTCCCCCCCCCCCCACAACCATAGTAAAAATCTTTCTTTTCTCATTTACAATCAAGCTGTGTTAAGATAACAGACCTGTTTAAGTATCTGAAATATTGTATCTATTATTATCATTATTTTCTTATGGCAACCACAACTTGATATTGAGTTTCAAATGAAATTACATGTTATGAACTGAAATAAAGTATACGGCAGAGTAAACAAATTGATGATTTGATCGATTTGTCAATAAACATACCGGTATATCGGTAAATGGATATAGAAATAAGGCCGTGCATATGTAAATTGATAGAAATGTTATCGACGTATATACGCACAATCTGTCGAAGAAATTAAGAAAGAAAATCGATCTAGAATAAACTACATAGATACAAACACAAAATTAAGCGTTCCACTTTTAGTGAACAATGCTTCACAACCTTGCACTTGATCTGCGAACAATTTTGTTTTCGGGGAGGGCGCGGGGGAGGGATGCCTCGCTATTCAGTTTAGCACGTTTCCCGCCATTAGTAAAATAGGAGTCGTCTGCTTGTGTTCTGGTAGCAGCTCTCTCTCTCTCTCTCTCTCTCTCTCTCTTTGAGCACTGGTCGGTACTCGGTCTCAAATTGAACATTGTTACAGCTTACGATAAGACGTTCGTCAGGTACGTGTTGGATAGAAAAGATGGTGGAAATGTGTCGTATGTAGAACAGACGATGCAACGTCTGTGACTTTTACAACATGTTCAAAATTAGATCAAAATCACAGATAGGGAGAGACAGGTTCATGGTGTCTATGGGTAGTTACCTCACATAATAGTAACTCCTTTTCTTTGGGGGACATTGACCAATGCTTTTAAGGTCATTCGTTCAATTCTGTCCACGAATCCGTGAGCTCATATTGTGTTGATCACCAAGGGCTTCAAGGCCCTTGTACAGGTCTTGTACTTATAATCAGCGCCATAATGATTTTCGTGATGTTCACCATTTCAATACTTTTGTTTAGTTTGAATGAAGAGGAGTACATGATTTAGGATTCGTCATATTTTATCATTGTATGTTGCATGGAAGGATACGGCATTGTGTAGTTGCTCCTTTGATTTGCCTTAGTATGTGACCAAACAAAAACATTCAACCAGGTTTTAAGTTTGAGAATAATGTATTTTGTAATCTAATTACTCATAACAGTTATGAACATCATATTTGTCTTCATTCTTAAATATGAGCCGAATTTTGTATGACATTTCGAGCATGTTTCGCTTTATAATATCTGTCCAGCATCTATTATTTGAAATCCTTTATAACTATCTTTATTGGCTTGTGGAGAAGAGATGTTGGACGAGGAATATATTGAAAGAGAGAGAATAGAAGAGCAGAGAGGGGAGAGAGTGGAGAGAGAGAGAGAGAGAGAGAGAGAGAGAGAGAGAGAGAGGGGTGGGCAGATAGACAATGGTGAAAGAAATTGATTAAAATCATTACATTACAAATATATTCTGTCAAATCAAAATTGGATGTTAATATTTCGCATAGGTTGAATTTGGAACAAGTCAGAACTTTTCCCTACATTACAGAAACGATTGTAATTCATTTTCTGCCACCAATCTGAAATACATAAAATAGCATGCGATAAAAAGCCTGGAAAGGCTCAAATACGCAAACTAAGGCAGATGCCACCGTATTTTTGACCGTTTTTCAAGGCCGATTAAAGAATTCGAATGATTGAATGAAATCATTTTCCACAGAGATAGCATAACGATGGAATTCATGGTGCTTATTATTGTAGCCTTCTGTTTCCATGAGAAAGAAATTTTCACTCATATTTGCTCAATTTATTCAAAATTCAACGCGAAAAGTAATTTACTACCCTAGTCTCATCACGCTCTTCGATACAATCGACATACAATGATCATTTGTCCCCGGCCAAGATTAAGGTCAGGAAATCACTCAAATACATTATTTTGATGTAAATAGTGCTTATGATGATAAGTGTGAAATATAGCCGCTCAATAGCCTTGAATATATCATGAATTTGCGGTGGTCTGTTTTTGTAAGTCACATAAAGATCCAATGCATGATAATTCTGATTACATGCTGAATTTAACTCTATATGTTATAGAAAATCATTCAAATCGTCACCTTGTATAGTGATGAATTCTATGATAATTATCATCCAAACTAAATTTGCTAGATGTTATCTTCTAACTTCTACATTAATTTTGTGGAAGTGCTTCCCCCAAATGATTTCGTTCGCCAAATCATCATGTCGAGTCATCACACTTATACTTCCCAATATCTAGCTAAAGTAAGAACTACATGATTGGCCTGTGTCAGGTCCCACCCAATGCATGTACCCCTCAGCATGTCAAACCTCAGTAGATGGTCCATGGTCTGAGGGCCCACCCTGCCTGCACTCACAGTCTGCCCAATGATATAGTTCGCTGAATTAACAATGCTTATAAGTTTTTCTCGGTCGGGGCAGATTCACGTGTATGTGACATAGCTCAGAGGTGGGAGCGGGGTTGGTAGGGTCGGAGTAAGAGCAGAGATAAAATGGCAAGAAAAAGAAGAACAAGAGAGATAGAGAGAGAGAGAGAGAGAGAGAGAAAAGAGAGAGAGAGAAAAAGAAAGAGAGAGAGAGAGGCAGAGAGATAGACGGAGAAACAGAGAGAAAAAGAGAGATAGAGAAAGTAAAAGAGGGAGGGAGAGAGAGAGAGAGAGAGAGAGAAGAGACATGCTTACACATGGTAAAGAGTTTGGGAGAGGGGAGAAGGAGAGGATGGTGTAAGAGAAATGAAATTATATATTTCCCAACCAACCATGTGGGATACCCACGTTCACCCCCTCCCTCCCCTGCTCTGTTGAAACGTAGGCCTATCATTGACATTCATAATTAATATTTTAAAAAACATTGAAGATTTGATTTTGTTTTTCTTCCAAGAATATGCAACATTATCTAAACGTTTACATTTAGACCTAAGTATTATTTTTTTGTATTTAATAAGTTACACATTTTAAGCTTAACAACGTTTTGTTACAATCATATCATATCTACAATAATAAATGAAACTCAACCCAAATATTACAACAGATTTTGGTTCTCTCTATTCCTACACACAGTACTTAAAAAAAATATGCTGTGTTCCCTCTTTAAGTTTATTGGTGTTTTTCTTCTTTTATTTTGACATTTTTAAGTGAAACCCTCTCTCCCACCTCCCTCTATCTGTTTCCTTGTGTTTTCTCCTCACTTTTAACCAGAACAAACAGAAGTAACTTAGGAGAGGGAGAGAGAGAGAGAGAGAGAGAGATGGGGGGAGGGACAGGCACATGGAAAGACAGTCAGAGAAATGAGGAGAGACAAAGAAGAGAGATAGAGAGAGAGAGAGAGAGAGAGAAAGATGAAGAGAGAAAAGGGAGTAGAATTTATGTATAAAGTTAATACAGGTAAAATAGATATGGTATGATTCGAGGAATTCTGTTTCGATTCATCTCCATGAATGAATACAAACACGGATTCATTTCCTTTCGAAACTTTATAATGGCGACAGAATAATCATGATAATAGTTAAGTTTTGTTTTGTATCTTTAACATGGTTATGTTTGGTGTTATCGGTTAATTTCAGCTTTTACGAACTCCAAGAGAGTAAAGGTCTCTTTTCAACGAGCCACGAACTACATTGGGTCAATTATTCTTAGAAAAAACCCGAAGAAGATGAATAAAGTATAGCAAAAATCAGCTAGCTGAGATAAGAGAGCGCATGCGTAATGAGTGCTAGGTCGGATGAGCGCGCTCATTGGGTAGTGCTGAGGTGAGTATACAAGTTACATGGCGGAGCTGAGCTGAGAGCGGAGTTTAGCATGGTGCGCAATGGCGTACGGGTATGGCGCCTACTAGCCAATCCGACGGCCTGATAGCGGTTCAGCGTTCCCACTGATCACTTTCAATAGGGCTTACTACGACAGGTGATGTGCATAGGGTAATGGTTTCCGGACAACAAGTTGGAAGACAGAGTGCGGAAGAGAGAGTGAGAGGGAGAGAGGATAGCCCAATTCACTTGCTAAGCTGTCAACAAAAACCATCGAGAAGAAGGGTAAATAGTCACGGCTTGACATGACTGAACGTCATCAAAACTCAAACAATAAGACGAGTAGGATGAGGAGTTTGGTTTGTTAGTTCGACGTCGCGTCGATGTTGTCGCTTTACTTCAAAGCCGACCCACACTCGGTGATCGAGTTTGATCCGAAAGCATAACATCCACCCTTCTTCGTTTCCCGTCTCATTTTCCGTCAGGCTTTCGCCATCCATGGCCGACATTTCCTAAGCTCCGATGAGAAGTAACTCAGACTTGAGTTCTCGCTTCCAGAATTAAAACTCGACTGTTTATATTCCGTTTTTCTCTGGACGTTAACCTTTTTCAGCAGGACACCGGGTCATAACTTCCCTCCTCACCACAAAAAAAATCGAAGACATCCCTACTCAGCCCTGGCCCTGTACCGCGGACAAGGTGTTTGAACACAAGACTCTACCGCACACTCACAATCTTCTTTCTGTTCAAAGAAGAAACAGAAAAAGAAGGACAAAAATCGATTCCAAACCTTTCGCAAAGAAAAGGACCCGCTAAAGTGCTACCCTTACAGTTGTAAGTTTCTTTTCTCCCATCCTCGATCTATAACTGTTGTTACGTACAGCTGATTTAAGAAAAACGCCTGCGAGTTTCAGCTCCTTGGCACAGAGGCGACGCCATTGCTTCTTCATAGTAAACACTTGGGGAGCTTCGAACCACAATCTGTCAGAAACATTTGAGCAGAGCCATCGTGATCAGCCGAACCTACGCTGGAGTTAATACCTCCATTCCGCTACTCGGGAGGAGGCAACCCAGAGCGTTATCCAATGATGAATATGAAGGAGCATGTTGGCATGCATCCTCCCCCGCTTGGGCCGGGAGGACCCAAGTACTCACCGCTTCATCGCCACCATGACCGGGGACTCGAGATGACAAGACGACATTGCATGAACGGACCAGTAAGTCATCTTTCCATATCCATTCTCCTCTTTCTGTTTAATCTTTCTTTCGTTAATCATCCTCTTTATTCTTTATAACAAAAACAAATATGAGTATATACAATTCGTCTACTTTGAGACTTATAATAACTAACATACATTATAATGTTTATTGTAATTGCTATATTGTATTGCTTAATCCCCACTTGATTAGAAGTCTTATTTTCATCTTGTTTTCTATCATCATCAACATGGTGTTATTTACATGTTTTTTCCTTTTTAGATTGTTAAGAATTTACTGCTACCATAATTATGTATTTTGTTAACATTTGTAGGTATTTACATTACCTGTATGGATCATAACTATATTTTATTTGACATAATGAGGCACAGCAACGTAGGCCTACATCTTACGAAAGATAATGAACACGAATAACATTATTAAAATTGTCAATATATTTGAACAACAATCATCAATCAAATAATTAAAATGTATATATGTTTTGTTATGATTGCTATTAAGTTGACAGAATGTCCATATTAGCTTACAAATTATTTTGATGAGGTCTGAACAGTTTTAGCATCATATCAAATCAGTGTTTGCAATGTTTTTAGGAAACGGATGCATTTTTAATGAGCTACTAATTCAAGCAGATTATTTTAGCTCATTTGTGCATTTAATTAACGTCCCGAAAAGACTTTAATTAACATAATTGGCGATGGAAATATAAAAATATCTTTCGAATATCAATGAGACATATTTCTGTGATCGAGACTGGGAAATAAAACGGATGTTTGCCTTGATCGAATGTATAAAGTAGAGGGGAAAAAATGTTTGGAAAAATATTGTACTTTTATTGATGTTCTCTCCGAAACGAAGGTCAGGGAATGATATAATAGAAAATGTGATTGATTTGTTTTAAGCAAATGTATTAGTATAAGCTCTCAGAATATACCACCAAAACAAAATTTAGAATAAGGACTGTGTCAATTCAATGAAAAACAAAATGCTCTTTAAGACCCTTTCTTTTATTATCATATAAGTTTATGAGTATATAGCGAACGAACTGATTCAGTTAAATGTTAATGAACTTAAAATGATTTCTTAATATTTTGCTGAATGCTTCTTTAATCAAAATATAATGTTTACCCGTGATTACTCTCTACATATTGGGATCATGCATTATGTATTACGGAGAAGAAGATTGCATTTAGCAGACAAATTTCATCAATTATGATAAGTGAATAATATATGGATATTAAAATTTGATTAATCAACCCTCTTTTGAAGTACACGGCAAAGGGAAAAGTTTCGCTCTACTGGATCAAATTAATTAAATCGATAATGTGAGCCAGAGAGCGAATACACGAATACGACCGTTAGAGTGTTGTAATGTGGGTTTTTATATATATCGTATAAATACTTGATGCAGAATGGCGATTTTTAATTCACCTTTTCTATAAATGCAAACCAGGCCCTGTGTTGACAACACATGTGCCGTTTTTAACCATTTATTATAGAAAAAAAATACATATTCGTTTGCTATAGAAATGAATTGATTTAAAATTACACTCCCATGTATATCGTGAGGTGTCAAATCGAATAGATTATTGAAGATTATAATTTTACTTGAAAGCCTGATTATGAAGAATCAAATGAAGAAAGCTGTCAGATATTCGACTATTTCTAAAGCGTTATTCTAACTTAAGTTGTGCATTATTTTCCATTTTCATCTCCATTTTTACCATTCTATTCGGGTAATTTTCACGATTATACAGTAGAAATAAAAGCTTATTATATTGTTTATATATCAAATGAATGTAGGAATTAAGTAAGAGCCATTATTAAATCACAGACATTTCTATATACAAATTCTATCTCAATAATGACCATCATTAACATTAATTGACCGATTATTATTAAGTCCAAAATTAAACAAGAATTCATTGACCCAATGAAGAATTTCGTTGGCAAGATAAATGAGCTAAAACTGCATTAATAGTACGTCTGCTGATAACCAGAAGGTCATTAAGTCATATAGCTTACACAGAGTTAACGTCCATCTGACACTGAACAGACGTTTGATGTAATGTCGTATACATCTATTACATCAAGTGAGTGACTGCAAGACAGTAATAGCGTTGCAACCTATTGTTGTTTACCTCTTATTGATATAGAGATTTTAGGGGTTTACTATGTGTTTATCCCCCGATTTTTCTCCTTCCCCGCGGTATTTCATCTTTCCCTATAATCCTATCATGTTTATCATGACTTATCTTTCTTCTCTGTCCTCCATTTTCATTTTCATTATCTTCTCCACTCTGTATCCCATATAATCTTTTCAATATTTAAACAATGACATTGCCAGAAATGTTAGTATTTTGTTTCTAGAGAAAATTTGGACGAGGTTATAATGCGTATTAATCATAATTACGAATTGATGTTCATGCTATTTTTGTCGCACTGTATATCATATCCATCTAGCATATGCTAATATTATTCAAGAGCTTTTCAAGATTTCATTGGATTGTATTACATTTACGAGGTCTTATTCAAGACTATGATTCAAACGCGATTAAAAAATATACGTTTAAAATGAAATCTTGACAGAAAGTTTTAACACCAGTCATTTTTTATTTCTCTCCATTTAGTATAATTGAATCAACGATGCGATTTCTTGAGGTGTTTTACACGTGCTTGTATTATCACATCTAATCAAGAAAACTTTCTCTTGTAAGTCCAAACCTGAAGTTGAATACTAAATACCGAACATGGAAATCGGATGTAATGAATGCGCATTCTGTAATTTCTTTCGACGGGGGAAGGAAGTGTCATTGAAGCAGACGTTTTCTGATATATCCAAAGTAAACTGATTCCTGACTCTGTCATGTAAAAAATATCAAACACACGTCACTGACAGAATGAAAATACCCTCGCCTTGACAGGCTATAACAAATACTTCAAACATTTTTATTTGAGAAATTAAGAGTGACAATTGCCAGTAAAACGTGTGCAATTTCCACCTGTGACATTTAATACTCAAAGTAATTGTTGAATTGTGCGGGAAATTATTTGACATGCGTTTTGACGAGCGTCCCGCATTGTACGGCGATAAAAGTAGGTTGTTGGCAACTTATACCAGATACAATATTAATAGACGGCACGACTCGGCTGTGTTGACATAGTGAATAATAGATGATAATTTCCATGGTTTGGGTCCAGCATAGTTGGGCAATGGGATATGTGACACCCTAGCTTACTGAAATATGAATGAGGGTCGAATTAAAACATACACACACTTAGTTCCTCTCCCTCTTGTCACCTTACTCAGCCATGAACACATATTCCTTTTTGTCTTCCTGCGATCTTTTATGCATGATTTGAATCGTTCTGTAAGGAAGGGGTATGTTTAGAGAGCATTCGTCTTGGTAGAGCGATATGAAAGAGCAGGAAAATTAGAGTGTTTGACTGGGGGTATCAATTGTTAATAAGTGAGTTTATTTGAGGTGACACTAATCGATTTACGTCCTACATAGATGGCGTGTTAACCTAAATGTGGGTTTCCACTAATGAATACTGCGGCATTAAAAATCTTGGCTCGGCTGGCGGGAAGCTCATGAATTTGAAATGTTATTGACATCTTACGTTCAATGTGGATGATACATTCATGGGTAAATATCTTTAATGACCTTATTTGCAGTTCGCACATCGTAACATGTTGGAAAATTTGTTCTGTAAACGAAAAGATAATAACAAATCATTGCTTTTTATACTGAATAACAAGAATATGATCGGAGGATCGAGTGTGAATGACTTAAAAAAACAACCAAAAGGTGACGAACTGAACTTTAAACAAATTATTTGAATTCGATTATTTTATTGACTATCAACGGGAGTTTTTTTTTCATACAACTATATCTTTTATTCCAGAAATGGTCATATGTGACAATTCTTTTCATAGAACCCTCATAAAAATCAACGTTAAGTAAATTAAATTGAAACTATTGATTTTTCGGAAATTAATATTCTTTTTAGAGAATTCATGGATGATTCTTAAGTAATGGTGAAAACTCTATTTGCTATTTATCTGAAGTGACCGAAACATTAAAATGTAAGCTTGGGTTATATTAAATATACTTTGGAGTTGACAGACACAAGATTATCAAAAGGATATATGTATCTTTGAATGGATGAAATTAGATTTCCTAAATACTTAATGATAATATCCAATCATTGCAAGACTGAAATTACACCAGACAACTTGGCATAAATATTTTTATCTTTTGCTTTATTGTGAATCAAGTAATCTTAACGAAAATTATTTGATACTTCCGTTGTATATAAATAGACACAAGATGAATACATGAATAAAATAATTTCCGTAAACAGTGATTTTATTCTTTTTATTTGATCTACTTATCAATCAGTACAATCTATATGTCGTTACCGACGATGGATAATACAAAACATTTAGAAGATAGTATTGGAAGTATTGTCAAGTGGCGTTGATCTTTAACATTTCGCAATGTAAATCATTTAAAAAGTAAAAAGTGATAAAAGCTTCAAACACACAAAGGGAAAGGAATACAGATCATACAAGTCATGATGTTCATTTCATGACGGTAACATATTCTTGGGTCAATTCGTGATCATGTCGTAGTCAGATAAGACATAAATATTCAGCGTTTCACGATTAGAGGTGGTATGCATATGTTATGGGTGGGAGAAAAATAAAAACGACAAAGGCGGAAGCAGAAATAAACTACTGCGTTAGTGTTGCTATATTTCCACTATGGTCCAACTATGCTCAGGTTAAGCATGTCTACTTCTTATTTCGCTGCCACCTTCTTGTTTGAGGTCGCATATTCTGGTTCCTCATAGTTATTTAAATTTTGCACATCAGCAAATTAATTGATGTGGAAGAATGGTTTCATACATCTCTCACTATTGCCATCTTCAGCTCTACGCTCTGCCCTGGGTATACAGGCTATTTCTGTCTTTATCTTTGTTTTTTGAAAAAATTTGTTCTAGAAAGAGTATGAGAAGACAAAGCCTTGATCATAAGGTTAAGTTTTCTCATATTTCCTTCATGTTTGTTAGTTTTCTGTATTTGTTTTTTGGGGGACATATTTACTCTTTTCCCTTGTGTGAACGTCTGCTCTTAATCTCTAAAAATGATACCAATAATTTTTTAAATGCTGAAACTTAACACAGTGTCGATAATTATTTCGATGAACACGTGAAAACTGTAGATACAAGAGTCTGGGCCAGATTGATAAATTCATGATATCTTGAGTCTGTTTCATGTTAATGTTGTGGTTATTGGAATGCAAAATGTTCATTTTCTTTACAAAGGCAGATAATATAGATATAGGTATCGTAATACTTGGTTCTATAAACAAAAAAAATTGCTCAGGTTCCAAGATTATTTCGCGACATTGCAGTTCGAAAACTGAACGACATAAAAATGTTAAGTTTCTTTAAACAATCGATTTGTACTCGTCTCTGAGTTTCATTGATTATCATATTATGCGGGGATGCATTGCTATGGTTACCTGCATCATTCCTGTTCTTATTCTTCTCCTCCTCTTGTCTTCTTACTCTCCTCCTAGTCGCCGACCAACATGTGACCCGTTACATCCTGGTGTGTTTGTGATTTCTCTACATAAATGATTGATTAGGAATTTCGTTAATAATTCAGAACCAGATATTTACGCTCTAACCCGGTCATTCGCGCTCTTCCTTCTCTCCTTACTCTCCCTTTCTTTCCCTTATTCTCTGGCTCTCCCGATTGTTCCTTCGCTCACCAGAAATAAATAGCTCATTTTTATTCTCTCACCAATTTGTCGTCTATAGTATCTCATTTCTCTCTCTCTCTCTCTCTCCCTGTCTCTCTTTCTCTCTCTCTTTCTCTCGTTCATTCATCCTCTCATTCCCCCCTTTCTCTCTTCCTTCTGTCTTCTATAAAAAAAACCTACTTGTGTGCCTTCCTATGTATTCTCCCCTCTGTATTTTACTTCCCCATTGGTTTTATACTTATACTACAATGTAATTCCCGAAACTGCACACAATCACCCCTCTCTCTCTTTCTCTCTCTCTCTCTCTCTCTCTCCCTCTATCTCTGTGTGTCTCTCTGTGTCTGTCTCTCTCTGTGTCTCTGTGTCTCTCTTTCTCTCTCTTTCTATCTGTTTCTTGTTCCTCATAAAAACTTGAAAACGTGAAACCGGTATTTTTGTAGTTTTGTTTTCATCTAATAATAAATTTTCTCTTGAAATTTCTTACCCCCCTCCCTTTTATTTTCACTCCATCCCTATTTCTAATTTTCCACATCACCACACCTCTTTTCTACACACTCTCTCACTTAACTCCTTCAAATCTGAAACCAATCTTCTTCTTTTCTTCCCATAAAATGGTGGGGGAGGAGATGGGCTTGTGCGCCGACGGTCTCTCTTATTTGAAATTCAATCTGATTTCTGATCGTTTGGGTAAGATATTATTATCGTTCCGTTGGGTAATTCCAAATGGGTTGCTCAACTGCCACCGTGTCTCCCTACACTAGTTTATCGAGTATCATTTATTCAGACTATTGACTTCTGTATCTACAAAATGGCGCCTTCTCTTTGCCACCCGGGGTTTCAAATTGTCATCACTTATAGCTCTGCGTTAATAACCTAGCAGGAACGTAGATATTGAATAACGTGCATATTGTTTGAAAGTTAATTGTCATAAATCACATCCTGTTTCGGAAAAAAAAAAAGAATGGTTACATTTTAAAAAATCCAGACCTTTATTATTTCTTACCATTATTTTTATCGGATTTTATATTAAAAAACTTTGATAGTTGTTGATGCAATTACAATTTATATTGATTTTAATTCTCGTGGAATGTGTTTACGATCAAAGGAAGTGTCATTAAATATTGCCATTATGTTTTCTCGTATTTATCATCATACAGCAACAAAAACAAAACAAAACAAAATAAACACACTGCAATAACAACAAAAAAGGGGGTTTTCGGGATAATATTACAGGAAATTTCGCTCGTATAAGTGTAAGTTGGTGCCAAAAGCTTCCTTTCGCAATCATATTAAAGGGCATACATGACATAGCGGTTTGGCGCTATGTACGAACCACGAGAGAACTAAGAGAAATACACTTAACAGCTAAATTATTCATACCTTTACCAAGTTTTGTGAATAATTGATATGCCCCTATTCATGTTTCTTCAGAATGTGACATATTAAAGTTCACATCTAAAAGTATTCAACAAAGGCCCATATTCAACCATACAGTCCACCTTTCATTACGGTAAACACAAGAAATATAAAATTTACAAGGGGTATGAATAATTCATTTGTTAACTGTATAATTTATAACGACTATTTTCAAGGCAATGCTTTGTTCACACTCTGTAGAATGTTTTGAAGGTTCATGGTAACCGTCTACTGTCTTGTGAACTATTGAATCATTCTTATACAAGGACTCTCTTGTGTACGTATGGAACATTTCCTAAACGCTTTCTAATGATGTTTATCATACTCATGCTTAAAGCATCTGAGGTTTGTTTGGATAATCCTCAAAAATTGAAAACGACATCCACACTGTAGCCATTCCAAACGTTAAAAACAAGGCGTGAGACATCTGTTTTAATACACCTCGTGATACTTGCACTATTGAGGTTTATGTGGAAACCCTGTCATTAATCTACTTTTGTCTGTGTTTGATGTTTCAGGGTAACTTCTTTGGTCCTCTTGATGACAGTGGGTTTCTTGCCCGAGCTGAAGCTCTAGCTGCTGTCGATGTCATGTCCTCTATGGTGAAGACTAGTCAACCTCATATGACCATCAAGAACGACACCAACTACTCTCATCATCACGCCGTCAACAGCGGTATGCATCCAGCACACTTCGCCCCGACATCATCTCCAGTATCACGTGGTCTCCCTCATCATCACAGCATGGATCATGGTGAGTTCCTTGACATCTCAGCAGCAGCTAGCCTTCCCGGAAGTGGTCCTGGACCAGGATTGTCCGATGTCCAGAGCGCAGCAGCAGCAGCGGCGGCGGCAGCGGCCGTGTCGCATCAATCATCCTTCACGCCACTACCAGGTACCGGTGGTCATTTCAACCCGATGAATACGATGATGCCGCATGGTATGGGCATGCACGACATCGACACTGATCCTCGAGAGTTGGAAGCATTCGCAGAGCGGTTCAAACAACGCAGGATAAAGCTCGGCGTCACCCAAGCCGACGTCGGTAAAGCTCTGGCAAACCTGAAGCTTCCTGGCGTAGGATCACTCAGTCAGAGTACTATCTGTAGGTTTGAGAGTCTTACACTCAGTCACAACAACATGATTGCTCTTAAACCCATCCTAGCGGCATGGCTGGATGAGGCGGAGGCTGCTGCAAGAGATAATCGAAATTCACCTGGTATCCTTGACAACGGAGACAAAAAACGAAAGCGAACGAGCATCGCTGCTCCTGAGAAACGTTCCCTTGAAGCATACTTTACCGTCCAACCAAGACCATCAAGTGAGAAAATAGCAGCCATTGCTGAGAAACTGGACTTGAAAAAGAACGTGGTACGCGTTTGGTTCTGTAACCAACGCCAGAAGCAAAAGAGAATGAAATACTCGGCGCAACCGAGGTGAGAGTCCTCCCAAGCTCTCAAAATCAAACTGAAAAGTGGAAGAAATATAGGACTTCCTAAGAGACCTGTGATTACAATATTTTCCAATTTGCCACATGACTTTTGTGAATTATTCTAGCTGCCAATTCGAGGGTAAACACTGGTAGCCATTGTCCTGTTTCCCATCTCTCTCTCTCTCTCTCTCTCTCTCTCTCATGAGCCGACCTGGGATGGACGATATAAAAAGAAGTGAACAAAAAGCTAGCCAATCAATAGCGATTATCGTATTTCTTCATCGAGTGGTGACAGGCGAAGCAGGGAAAGCAGCTATTCCTTTGCCTTACATGTTGTATAGTCATGTATAGAAATGTAGACAAACCTTGTATTGTTATCCTGTGACCGTTACACCTGTACTGTACACAGTAATGAAATAATGCATCACACAGCTCGGCTTAATACGTTTAGGTCCGAAGCTTCCGATAAATGCTCCTTTGGTAACAATCAATAAAGAAAGAAAGCGAAAATGTTTTAATTGAATGCTTCAGATCAATTTTAGGATGTTCTGACTCTGACTTGATGAATAATGTAAACAGTGATATGAATTAACATGAAAAGGGAATTTATTAAATTGTGTCAAATCAAGTAAAATAACATGTACACATACTTGCAGATTTGAAATGACGATAATGATGAAAATCACAGAATTTATGAATAATTTATCTCCAGTATAAACATTAAAATACTTGTAAATTGTTGATTTATCATTTGACCTATATAATTATATTATGACCTACAATTATTCATTTTGACAGGGTTGAAGTTTGTTCCAGCTCTAACAAAAAATAAAAAGATCAAATTATACACTTTTAAAGCAACTGTAAAGGTGCTGAAACCTCACATTCAGCTCATAAGAACAAACACAATGATTTCAATTTGGGTATCATTTTAGGAAGCGACCGGACAAACCATTGATTTTCTAGTTCTGTCACGTAATTGCGGTGTTTTAATGGATTAGATTTTTGGTGCTAAAAGACGATTTCTACTGCCCCTGCTCTCTTCGCCTCCTATTTGTGTTATCATGATAAACCATTGTCATTGTTTGCTTGATATGTGCTGGTGAGTTTAATATTGTTCAAAGCGTGCACTGTATACGCTACGCTGCTATAGGCAGACATGAACACGTATATCTAGGTCACGTGTACACCAGATTGGCGGGCAATTGTTCATAAAATTCGTGATTGTTATCTCTACGAATCGTCTGCTTTACTTCAGGGTGATATCCCGAGCACTCAACTTTCAGTCAGTGCATTTTAGACTTGATTATAATATAATATAGTACAATGTGGGAAATATTCAAATAATATTCTATTGTTATAAACAAAGCAATGTACTTTTCTAGGCAAACAACACAATAATTTTCGTGTAGGAGGGTTAATATAATTATTATGATAATAATATATTGCATTTATCTGTTAATAGTATGCATATATTATTGTTGCTATGTCGGACATGTCTCGGTAAAACTCTGGGTTAGCTACAGCAACCTTTGTAGTGGATGTTTATGTATTTACAATTATGAATAATATTATGAGCTGTAGCCTATTCATGCATAATATACCCATGATTTTTTTAAATGTTAAAATCACGTACTGCCTTATTCCTATCATCATCTAAATGAAAAATAACAACATTAATTAAAAAAAGACGAGTTTGAATGTATTAATTAATTTTAAAAAAAGAAGTTGGTCATATAAGAGAATTTCTTTACGTTAAAGTATATATCACACAGAATAGAGTGATAAACGAGTAATATTTGGAGGCATGTGAAATTGAAAGTTTGCTTGTTATTACCAATTGAGACCATGAGAAGGTGAATAATCAAAGTTTTATATTATATTAAAGACATCATTCTTCTTTCTTTTTTCTTACAAACAAAAAATAAATTTAAAAATATCCCAAGGAGAAAGATTTGTCTTTTAAAAAAAAATAGATTAATCTCCCATCAAATTTGGTTGATCAATAAAAATGAGTATATTGTTCAAATGTCTTTTCATAAACAGATTTAATACTTTAACAAATACGACCATGAATTTCAGTAATTCTCTTTTTGGGAAAAGCAAAAGAAGCTAGATAATGCGATGGAAGATATATGTCAAGAAATGAACAGAGGAATTATCATTCGGGATTATAATTCGCAAATTTAGCTGCATAGAAAAACAATTTCCGTCAATAAATTATGAAAATAGGTGAATTCCCTTACCAACGAATATAGGCTAGGTGACAGATCAGATAAACAAAAGACAGAGAGGAAGGAAGAGAGAGATAGAGGGGGAAAGAGAGAGAGAGAGAGAGAGAGAGGGGGGGGGGGAGGAACGTACTGGAAATGACCAATACTGCATATTTAATTGGCTTTCCGCAAATTTACTTTGGCGCGACAAAAATGAGTAAAACGGGAAGAATGAAGGGGAGAAAATATCGGTCATAATTTCGGCAAGAAGAGGAAAAAAAGGGAAAGGGAATGAGTTTGTGTGTTTAACTGCATATGATGGAAGGTAACTCTAGGAGTCATGTGTGATACGAGGATGAGACGAGATGTGATCGGCTAATTTACTGCCACTCACCCACGCCTGGCTGCCCCGTCGATATACCGCGGCTGCCCTGGCCTGGCATGCATGCCGACTCAAGCCGCTGGTCGTATGGTCTTAGCTTCAATTTGATGAGATATTATAGCGGTGCGAAGTAGCTTTTCGCGCCGATCACACGGGCGTGAAAAATGAAGGCGCCCATGCATGGCACGTCAATTTCTCTGGTTTTGTTACCTCCCGTGCTCCAATACATCCCCTTTTCTCTGTACTCCCTTTCATCTTTTTTTCCTCAGAGTAGGAATTCTCAACAATGCTAATTAGCAAGCAACTATAATTAGCTATCCACTATTATACTGTGACAGAAGGCCCGTTCGGTAGAATTCGTTCCTTACGGCAATGATATTCACGGTATACTCTGATGGGTCGTTCAGAATTCATCGACTGGCTCCCACACGTTGAGGGGTAATTATCTTCTATAGAACAGATATATGTCATTTTTAATAATTGGTTTAAGGTCCATCTATATGGCCTCTGTCGGGCATTGTAGGGGTGATGTTATGACTCTATACTCATCGAATTCATGGACTTGCTTTTCAGAGATTAATTTGATTTTTTCCCCTTCTAAATACCACCAATTTCCAGAATTAATCTCTTATTTTCTTAGTGCTTCAATGACGATTTTGGTTTTAAAGAACCTAGACAAAAACTGGGGCAACGCCAGACAATTTATAATAGGAGTGTTGGATCAAAATGTGACGAGAAGGTGGTCGAAAATATTTTTTACAAGTTTGTTCTCAAATGTATATTTTGTGATCTGAAAATGAAAATCTTCCACAGAATATTTTGAATGGGGAGGGGGGGGGGGGGGGGTGTAGGACCCCAACATCTCCTTCTACAGATGTCTCTGTGTTCAATGGTATAGGTTGGATCTAGCTATTGAGGGGGGCACTTCCATGGGGGGGGGGGTATTGAATCTACAATTTGATCAGTGAAATAAAAATAATCGTCACCGCTATGTTAACTTTAACTTCAGGGTTATTAAATATATCCTAAAGCCCTTTCCAGTAACTAAAGGGTTTTTTGTGCTCTAGACTACACTGATGTAGTTTCACGTAATTATATAGTCGTACCCTACACAGCCAGTGATTGAAAAAATAAAAGGAATTGTAGATTGCGTTTCAGTGTCAGGGTAGAGTCTGTTACTGTAGATTAATTCATGAGATGAAACACTGTGTATAATATAACCATCGTGGACTTGGCGGTAAGCTATAAAAAAAAAATCCACACTAAAGCCATTGATATCACATGAGCAAGAACCCCCTACGACAGACGATGCATTATTTCATTACTTAATTCACAATATGAGTCATTAACAGAATGTTGTCCTCATTATAATATGTATATGATATTTTCTATGTACAGATTCGTATGATGTAAAATCTGCTTTCTGTTTGATTATGACACTGACCAGAAGAAACGAAACGGAGATTGTATTTCTAATGAAAATTGTAAATAATTATCATTCTCGATGTAAAGTGAGGAGAACATGTGAAAAGTACAATTATCAGGAAAATAAATCACTTAAATTATTGAAAACATTGTGATTGTATTTTTGTGTCCAAAAGACGGAGAGTGAGAGAGAGAGAGAGAGAGAGAGATAGGGAGAGGGAGAGAGTGGTGGAGAGAGGGGAAGATAGAGAAAGAGAGAGAGAGAAATGAGAGAGAGAGAGTGAGAGAGAGTAAGGGAGAGAGAATATGGGAGGGAGAGTAAGGGAAAGAGAGGCAGAGAGAGAGAGAGAAAATGAGAGAGAGAGAGTGAGAGAGAGTAAGGGAGAGAGAATATGGGAGGGAGAGTAAGGGAGAGAGAGGCAGAGAGAGAGAGAGAGAGAAAGAGTAATACGTGAGGGAGAAAGAGAGAGAGACAGAGAGAGAGAGAGAGATAAAGAAAGAAAGAGACAGGGGAATGAGGGGCTGAGATGTAGAGAAATGGAGAGGGAAAGAGAGAGTGAGAAGGAGGGAAAAGCAAAGTGGACAAAAAGAGAGGGAGAGAAGCACACAGATCGACAGAGACAGATACAGTAAGACAGACAAGGGAATGATAGAGAGAGAGAAAGAGAGAGAGAGAGAGAGAGAGAGAGAGAAAGAGATGCAGACAGGGGGTATGCGTAAAGGGAGAAAAAAAAAATGAAGTGCCTATCAAGATCTCATGACTTATACATGACTGTAGTTCATTATCTGCATATAGTTCAAAGAACTTTATTACAAAATAATATGTATATCTGATATGATTGTCTTCGATGTAAATCAACAGGGGATAACCGCGGTATATTGAATTGTTTTCAGTTGACCATCAACTGGGAGGTTGAGGGTTCAAAGCCTTAATCGATGAGTACCTGTATACTTGGCTTTTACAATGCATTCTATCTCAACTTGACTCCTGATACCCGGGTTAGTAAATATGTACCTGAGGATAAACATTTCTTGAATTTTTGAGCGCCTTTTCATGCATGACACATCGGCATACAGTAGTATATTAATTTGAAGGCATCTCGCGAGCGCAACGAGATGGTTTATTGTTGAACATGCAATAGGCGCTGTATAAAAACGGAATAAGATTATACTGATCGTTATTTATATATTCAAAAAATATATCCTAGTTATCTGTCTATACAAATTTAGCATCTACTCCATTCTCTCATGATACTGCCTTGCAACAAATGAGTTAATGTGTGAGTAAAGCATGGTGTGCATGGTATAAAACAACATCATTCCATCTAAAGTATAAGATCTATAATATAGGCAA